ATTCCAATAGGAGTTAAGCAGATCTGCCTACCTCTTTGTCATTGGTTGGATGTCCGCCATCCAGCCAATCAATTTATGATCTTCTCCACATTACTTCCAAACCCATTCAATGATTTCTCCACCTGTAATCCTCACTGCTATACCAATCTCAACACAATCACTTGCAATAAAGTGCGCAAACCGTCAAGCCTTCGGCTTCCAACCTGTGCAACTGACCCCATGGAGGAGCTACCCCACTCAGTCGGTCAGCTGCGTGACCCCTCTACCCATGACTCATCAATCCGACAGGGCTTGTGACACTGCCACAAAATCACTCAAGTCAGCATGCCATTCCACCACTGCGTTCATCGCCAAGTGCATCCTATCTCAGAAGCCTACATTCTAAGCCGCATACCTCATGTCCCAACTCACTTTCACCTCGCCTCCAGTGATCACCACTGTCACTCATTCCACCTTCGTGGGTGATCGCTTTGTACACGATCAACAAAATGGGAGATCCATGTCGAGGAAGTGGGCCAACACCAAAGTGAATACAGAAGAAAGCACACCGGCATTTATTTGGTTGGGGTTGACTGCCTAACTGACTGACTGACTGACTGATTGACTTGACAGTAGAATGATGCGTCTTTGGACTCTCGTCACGCCACCAACACCAATCGTCTCCCATCTCTCCTCCACACCAATTACCAAGCAGCCCAATGACCTCCTCATTTCACCGCACTGCTTGTCCACTTAACTCCCGTGCCACATCAGTGCTGGTGCAGTGAGAATGATGCACCAGCCTTCCCACATACTGCGATCAAGCAAACCAAACGTCTACATCACTCGGATAGTCAGTCAGTGGATAGGAAGAGGGCGAACAACCTGCAGAACAACAATTGCTACTTGACTGCTTCACACCGGATCGCATTTCCCCATTTCGCTTGTGGTAGCGAGCAACTATGCAGCACAATGTGTGGTGATGAGTGAGGTGTTCTGCCGTCTACAGCGTTCTAACTGAATCTCCACACACCTCTCGGTATTTACAGGACACTTCAAGCACATGACACCAACAGGACGCTCATCCACTCAGGTGCATATTGTAGGCATCTGTCCTGGGGCCATTACCACCGTAATAGCTCCAGTCCACTGCACACCACTCACACTTCTGTGAATATACAACCAGTTTGTCTAACACCTGCCCAACCCCACCTGTCTACTCGGCGACACATCATCTCGCATGAATTTGCACAAGACACGAGCCCGTCTGCACCATCTGCGACAACAGCACAGTTGTCTTGTAGAAGTGATTGGGACTTCGAGAATCGAGTACACATTAGACATCAAGACAGCTTGTTTCTGGTGAAGTCGGTCGTTTTAGGATGATTCGCACATACGGACACACCTTTCCACACCAAAAATTGGCACAAGTCAAGCAAACGATGGGATGATGAGAGCAGTGTGGAGGGTGGAAGGTGGCCATTTTGGGAAGTGAATTGCCCTTTCCACTCCTTTCAACTCCATCTCTTTATTCATGCACTGAAACATCCTGGTTTTGCGTGAACACCCT